TCCGGTTTACCCTGCATCCTCCCTGGGAGACCACGAGGCCAGCACTATACAAATGGCATCTACACGCATCCCGGCAGAAGACGCCCTCCGGCACTCGGACCGTCAGATACGCATAGCTTCCCGCACCTGCAGCTTCATGAAACTGCTCACGGAGAAGATCAACTGGAGACTGGGCGACCTTCGACTCTACCTCCCCAAGACTGCCACTCGACAGCTAGCAGCCAAACGTAAGCACGAGGAAATGATGCTCCACGAGCCTCAGGAGAACACTCTGACTTACATTCGGCGGCGTCAGCTCATCTTCATATCTCAGGCGATCAGAGACTACACAAATGATGGCCCAGGCCAAAACTCTTTTCAGCTCGAAGATGCGGAGAATACCGCACTTCGAATTTGGACGTACCTAACCCGCCACTTTGCCAAAGGAGAGATCAACTTTATGATAGACACCGCCTTGTCGCATCTCCACCTCCTGATGAAGTCGGCGACACCATGTCTGATGTCAAGCATGGAGCAGTCGCAGCCGTCCATGGCTCCGGGACAAGGTCAGAGTTATTTTCCCCCACATCTAGGCCTACCCGAAGACAAACACTTGGATCTCCAATACTTCGACCTTCAGGCACTCAGGCGCGCGTCGACGATATACCGAGTACAGCAGCTTCTCAAGATATCTCACTCAACCCAGGGCGGAGAGTCGCCCGTCACCAATGGCTGGCGCTTCCAGCAACAAGCGCAACACCTCGACTCATTGCCCTATGACAAGCATCTCCAGGCCTTGCTGCCACACCTCCCGGACTACCAGGACCAACTCCGAGAGAACCTGGTGATGTACAGGCAATGGCTCCTACGAGACATCACTGAAGAGGAGACGGCCTGGGCCCGTGACACACTTTTAGAGTCGGCAGTCTCGAGAGGAGAACTCCGCGAACTTTTCGAGCATGCTCTCCTCAAGCAGGTAAACCATACACTTCAGGCCAGTGCTGAGTCTCCTCACCGTGTTGATTCTACTCCGAACTTCCAAAATAGCATGGCTCTTCGCTTCTACCAAATCATCAATCCTTTACATGACGACGTCTACGAGGAGTACAAGCCGTTTGCGATCGTCTATAAGATGCTCACTCCCCCGAACCGCCAACGGGCTCGATCACTTCATCGTACTTTGTCGCACGAGAGGCACCAGTCCTTCCTTCGTCTTTTTGAACCCTAGCCTGCTAGCAACTTTGCTTGTGAGGTCACCTCCTGCAAAGTAGACCACCAGGTTAGCAACGTCTCTGTCTAACTAGGACACCAGCAGCCTTTAGCAAGCCAAGATAAAGCAGCGGAAAAGTCTCCATCTCCAACTGCAGCACAGTCCCTTCTCACTAAGATCACAGCGGCATTCTCCGGCAATGAGGTCTTTCTGCAGATAGTTGGAGCCTGCTGCAGAGCCAATGCCTCAGCCTTGGCTGATTCACCTAGTAACACATTCAAGTCTGCAGCTTTCTGCTTTCATTGAAGCTTGCCACAGCCGGGCTCAGCCTCTCCACACAGGCTGGCCACATGAGGTCTCCATCCAGCTAGCAAACAAGCCATGCCTTCACCGTCTCGCGAGATTCTGCTCGAGATTCTCCTGAAGTCGCTCCACGTCCCACTGACCATCTACCTACCCGACGGCATCAGTGAGCACATGGCCACATCAGCCTCAGCAACAACTCATCTTGCCCCGAGGAGGCTCCTCTTCACTACAGAAGACCTTGAACGCACGGCAGAACGAAGCATGCGAGTAGCATCACGTCTCTGCAGCTTCATATGTCACTTGGATCGGTACCTGGCTTGGCGCGAGGGCAGACACACAGCCCTGCCCCTAGAGGCTAGCCCACGTATCTTGGCAGGTAAGCGCAAGCACATTGACGACGAGCAGCCTTCGACGCACCTACCCCGGAGTATGGGGCCCCTCCAGCGCCAGCAAATCATGTACCTCACCCTCATGATCCACAACTACACAAAAGACGGCGAAGGCTCGCCGTCCTTGAGCACGTCTGAAGCTGATCAGGCTGGTGCTTTAACCTGGCATTATCTTACCGGGAAGCTCTCGCAATCAGAGCTGAATGCCATTCTGCTCCGCACTTTGGAGCAAGCCAAGGTCATTCTGAGGTCTGAATTCACTCCAGCACATCAACGGAACCTACTCCAGCTGCATCCCCAAACGACGGCGGAGACCTGGCAAGGCCAAGCATATTTCCCCCTAGGCCTCCGGCTTCAAGACCCACATCAGCTTGATCTTGAAGCATATGATTTCAGAACGCTCAAAAGAGCATCACTTCAGCTTCGCCTACTACAACAACTGCGGACTATTACGGCCTCCACACCTACATCGGCCAGCGACCAGATCCGAGATGGCTGGGATTTCCTTGAACAAGACCGTGATCTCTCAAAGCTTGACTACGAGGACTACCACACCAAATTGGTTTCAATGATCCCGCACTATCAGGAGACACTTCGAGAGATCCTGACACTGTACCGCCTATGGCTGTCCACCCCTCTGTCCGATGAGGACTTCCATTGGGTGCGAAACCTGGTAGTGAATCAGCTACTACCTAGAGATACTCTGCATCGCTACTTCGCTGACAGTCTCTGGCAACAAATACGACACAGATATGGAGGAGACCAAGGAGATTACGAGCAGGCACAAGGAGTCATCACAATTCTTTCCCCGCTCCACGACCAGGTCTATGATGACTATAAGAACTTTGCTGTGGCGCTGACACTGCTCCTCGTTCGACATCGTCAACGTCTGAAACAGACGCTAGACGACAAAATTCGGGGCTAGGGACCATCCGAGCACCACAGACTTCCAAACGAGTGAGGTCCCCTCCTGTTCGCTGCACTATCTTCCCAAATTGCGGGGAAAAAGCCTGTAGCTCCAATCTTTCCACGTCAAGCCTCACAAGCACAGCTCTTCTCGCAAAGTTTTCCCTCAGGTTCGCACGAGTGAGGTCCCCTCCTGGCGAACTTCCACCTAGGCCCATGGCAGACCTTCACCCCGTTCTCAGCCGTGAACAGGCAATGGAGGTACTTCTTGAGTCTCTATTCCTACCGCTGCCGGTTTACCCTACAACTCCATCTGGTGCCGCCGCAGCAAGCAATCTGGACCTGGCATCCTCACGCACCCCTGCGGGAGAAGCGATCCCACACTTGAACCGCCAGATACGGATAGCCTCGCGCACCTGCAGTTTCTTGAAGCTGCTCGCGGAGAAAGTTCACCGGCACATGGGAGACTTGCGGCTCTACCTTCCCAAAACTGCACCTCGAAACTTGGCCGCAAAACGGAAGCATGAAGAGATGATGCTGACAGAGCCTCGCTCTCCTACTCTGACGTACCATCAGAAGCGCCAGCTCCTCTTCATCTCTCAGGCGATTCGAGACTACACCAACGATGGCCCTGGCCAGAACTCCTTCCAGCTCGAAGATGCGGAACCTACCACCCAGCGCATCTGGACGTACCTGACGCGCCACTTCGGCCAAGGTGAGGTGCACTTTATGATTGCTAACGCCCGATGCTACACCTTCTCATGCGATCGTCAACTCCATGCCTACTCTCAGGCATTGAGCAGTCACAGCCATCGTATGCTCCAGGACAGGGCTCGGACTACTTCCCCGTCAATCTTCGTCTGCACGATGACAAGCAACTGGACCTTCAATACTTCGACCTGCAGGCGCTAAGGCGAGCCTCCACAGTATACCGGGTGCAGCAGCTGCTCAAAGTCTCTTCTTCCGCCGAAGGGGCATCGCCAGTTAAGAATGGATGGCGCTTTCAACATCAGGACCATCACCTCAATGGTTTGTCCTACGACCAACATCTCCTGGCTCTGCTGCCTCATCTTACTCACTACCAGGACCAAATTCGCGAAGATTTGGTCACGTACAGGCAGTGGCTGCTTCGAGAAATCAATGCAGAGGAAGTTTCTTGGATTCAATCCTTGATCGCGGACACGGTTATCTCGCGAGGTGAACTACTGGAGCTCTTCGAGGATGCCCTGCTAAAGCAAGTCAACTCTGCATTTCAAGCTAATGCTGGCATTCCTAACCCTGAGGATCATTCTCAAGACTTCCAGAACAGCATGGCCCTCCGCTTCTATCAAATCATCAATCCGCTCTATGATGACATCTACGAAGAGCACAAGCCCTATGCAATAGTGTTCAAGATGCTCACCTCCTCTCATCGTGGACGGCTTCGGTCCCTCCTTCGAGCTCGAGAAGCTGTCATTCTGGCGTCCCCACATCGGACAACCAGCCTGGTTCCAGTATGCGAGTGAGGTCGCCTCCAGCAAACTGAACCATCAAATCCCTAAGTTCCTCTAGTCCGAATTCTGGACTTAATCACACCTCCAGACCACTGCTCGCACTGCAGAAGAAAAGCCTCCATGCCTTATAATGCACAAGCGCCAGCCTGCTAAGCTGATGCCCCCCAGACTCGGCCTGCCCGCCAGCTTGCCTGCTGAGGTTGAGGACCAATCTCGCAGAGAAGTGTACAGAAGCGCAACCCGCCTGGCTACAATGGCCAGGACATCGAAACAGACCAGGTCCCGAACGAGTAGGTCACTTAATTTTCACCCTCGATGCCCGCCAAGGTGCGGGACATAACCCGCACATGCGTTCGAAATGAAATTTGCTGCTGCTGCTGCAATGAACGGGTTCCCCTCAGCAGTGGCCCCCAAGTCTGCTTTCCTTCTTTCTTGGGAAGTGCCGCCCGAAGGTGTACGTCCATCGATCCAGTCGGAACAAAACCCGCACTGCTTCGAGCTGGCAACTCTTCTTCTACCCAGCGGAGAGGCCCCCGAAGGGACCCCGGACACGACGGCCCGCTGCTCGGTTCGTCCCCAAACAGACCCCCCGTGTCGGGTTGCCTTGTGAGTCCAGGGCGAGCTGGCAACTCTCTCCCTCTCTCTCTCTCTCTCTCTCTCTGTCGCACTCTCTCTCTCTCTACACAGACAAAACGCTTCACACCGCTTCACAGCCACCTCTGGTATCGCAGGATCATCGTGCCAGAAGGAATGGACGTGCGAGCGACACATCATAAGAGAGGTGCCGGGCACACGTCTCCTGGGAAAGCGGTGATGACATGGTGATGACGCATGGAGTGCTGAAGCCGCATTCGGAATTCTTCGGGGAACGGGCCTCGTGGTGTAGTCGAAGAAGCCGTGCTTCTCGGAAGGACGCTGCCCACCGGCTCCCAGCCCTTCGCGGGTTGGCGCCTCAGAATGTTCGGATTCTGCCCGTGGGCTCCTAATAAATTCATTACCATCATCTCATAAAAGACAGCATCGAGCCGGCGTGGCCCAAAAGCCGTTTTGGAAGCATTTGGCAGGTTGCGGTGGAAGGTTCTGGAAAGCATGAAGCACACACGGCTCTGGCAGCTACTACTGCATCGATCTCCAACTGCACACAGAGCATCTTTTTGATGATCATGTTGGGAACTTGCCAGAAGCAAGGTTCAAACAATCTGTCAACATTGTTTCTGCATTGCAGCCCTTGCGATGCTTGACAGGAAGCCTCCCAGCCTTTGCGCAGGAAGTGCAGCACACCTGCATCGCTAATCCTTGGGAGGAAAAGGTGGTCTTCCTATCTTTCTGCTCAGAACACGAGCTAGACACAGGTCCATAGCACAGTGTCAGCCGGCTCTTGGAATCTTAGCAGCTACCAGCGGGTAGGTTAACTCACATCTTCGCGTGTGAAGTCACATCTCCCCAGTGACACGCGGCTGCGAGCGAAGTCACATCACCCCGCGTAAAGTCGCATCACAGAGACATAGGTTGAAGCCTTTCCCCCAATGTGCACGCGCCGCACGCGTATGCTCTCGACACACATGCAAAATACGCACTTGCCA